AGTGGAACATATTAATCTTCGCAAATTAGTTGCTAATCGTTCTTTGAGCGGCGTTGTTGTAGATCCCGGCATCTTTTTGCTTCTGGCACTCATTACTCCGAATCGGTCTTAATTAGGCAACGCGGCCACCGCGTTCTACGTTCCCTACAAACCTGCAAACTGGAGATAAGTTTTTGTCATGAGTTATGTCACTGCATTAATTCGAAAGTCCGAACAGGAAAGTGCAATAGCAGGAGAAATTCCAGTTTGCGTGTTAATTATAAAAAAACAAAACAGAAAAACAGTCTGGAGCTACCAACGGAGAGATTATCACCAGTATTTCTGTTGGTAAACTAAAAAGTAGTTTGTTGTGTTTTACTATAAGTAGGTATTAGATTTTTAGAAGTATTTGAAATGTCTAAATCATTGAGAAAGACACTGCTGCACTGGAAAAGAGATTTTAAAGTATTCTTCAGTCAAGAATATAAATTAAACTAATTAGTTGTATCAGGTACTCATTAATAACAAACATTTTGCTGCTTCAAACTCTTCTTATTCTATAGTAAAATATCCCTTTATATCTGTTAATCCACTGCATCCAAATTCCTTTCTATCCTACAGTAAAATATCACCATATAGCTTTGTATTTGCAAAAAAACTTACATTATATGTATACTCTGAGCCATTTAAAGTGACGGCTCATGTAATAACACTGCCAACAATAGACCGCCTTTGCTCATGCCTAAGTGCAATTACAGCTTTATGGCATTACTCAAACGAAACACATTTTATGTTCTGTTATGTACCTGTGCCTACAAAGTTCAAAATAGTTTGAAAAGTTTCAAAAGGTTGTAGATATTCAAACGAATTTTACTACTCTGTTTTATCGAAATGTGAGAGATGCGTAAAGCCTTTAATATATCTTCAAATATAAATAAACATATCGTTGATATTTTCAGTAGTAAATGGTACCAATAATAGTGGATAAAATGGTCAATTTCTCCGTGCAGTACTGTACGGATTATACGCTCCTCACCGGTTAAAAGTTTGACCGAGAGTTGTCTCCTTCCTTTTCTGGTCTAGTGCTGTTCTTTTCTACTTTGCGCCGGTCAAACTGAAGGTCACATCGCTACAGAAAGTAAATGAAGTATAGTACAACATTTTTGTTGAGTTTCAGCTGCAAAGATAAACTCAATAAGGGTTATTGTCGCTTAACATGGTCACTAAATAAAATTCGGATGTAAATGTAAGGTACTCGACAAAATAAGCTAATATATCTTTTGGAAGCCGCCTCTTTAGGTGGCTCAGAGCTTTACGTAGATGTTTCGTCACAGCATCGCCCATTAAAAATGACTGCAGTTCAGACCTTAACCATGAACCTGGCACTAATTCTGCCTCTATTCAGTCCTTCCAAAACTGTTACATATATGTAACCTTAACAGCCTACTGAGGCTTTGTTTCTTGTTTTTTGAATTGCGGCAACAAATATCCGCAGAAATGCACCAGTTAAAATCGCTTTTAATCAGAACGTAAATACTAAATTATTGATTTACATCGTAGTAATATTTAATGACATATATGTAAGTCAAGAATATATTTGCATTTATTTAGAAACGTATCAATCAAATTATATTTCTTTAGTTTTTTCAGTTTTCCTGGCGCCTTCACCATATTTTGAAAACGACAGAGACTATTTAATACAATTTACATTAGAAACACTTATAAATATGTTACCATTTAGAACATTTAAAAGGGTTTTGCTTTTTATTTCCTTATAATTTATTATTATAACTGTTCTACAAGTATCTAACCAAAGAATCAACAGAAGTTTGTAGTGTTTGGTTTTCATAAAAGCAAAAACGGAATGGAAAGAAAATCATAAAATATGTCTACTAGTTTTTCACCTACTCGTTTACTAGATATTTGTATTAAGTATTGTGTTAAATATAGGCACATTGTAGCAATGGCGACATTTTCTGCAATAATTTATGGGTTAGAAGGGATCATGAAATATATCAGGATTAATGTAACTAATTTATTTGTTTGGAAAAAGTTGTGAACAATCTCTGGCAATGCGGAATGCGACGCGGCAACTTGAACGGTGTCATTTTTCACAATTTACTAGCACCCTTGTCACTTCTGGATTACCGAAATCACGAATCATTGCTAATATCCATATGCAAATCTTGTTGTTCTATCTAATGCTATTTGGCAAGCATATCAAGTAGTTCTGTCATAGATGCACTGATGCATAAACGGATCTATTTATTATATTTATTTAAAAATAATCAAAATCCATTCTGATATTTGCAACAAAATCCTTGTTTTTTGCCAGGTTTTTACCACGCTTTGGTTAAGGATG